TCGACTTGGCTCGTTTAACAAACGACGTTGTTTGATTTAATATTTTTTAGAAAAAAAACAAAACCGATTTTCAACCTGTTCACGATCCGGTCCGGTTCAACGGTTCCTTCCGATTTACTAGTAACTATTAAACCAGTGTAGAATGAACCGGACCAGACAACGACCCCCGATTGAACCGGCCGATCCGATCCGATTTTCAAAATACTGGTCGAAAATCACTTGCGTCTCAAAAGGAAGCCAAGTTTGAAGCAAGGTATGGACTGACTGCTTTCGTTCCATGTATACCCCCCAGCTTTATGCATATATACAATTTCAACTTTAGGCTAAGTAAGCAATGCATCAAAAAGCAGGCAGGGTGTTTTAGACAAAAGGATTGTAAAAATCCAACGCTCTCCTTGGGAGATTCAACCATCCCGATGACTTTCAACGCATGGAGGAGTTTCCTTAGGCTGTAAACAAAGGTAAAGCAGTGGCCTTTAACAAAGCAAAGTCTCTCTTTTTGGCAAATATAAAAGAAAATGGTTAAAGAAATCAATTTCAATGTGAGTTCCATTGTTGGATTTGTTTGTATTATCGTTTTGACAAAAAAAACGTGGATGAATTCAACCATCTTTGTTCTTCCTGTATCAACTAGAACGTACAGTACTGTCAGGTTGTTCGTCCTATTCTGTATTTTACAACTCTTAAATCTAACTCGCTAGTGGCTTATTCAAAAATTTAAGAATAAGATCTAAAATTTTAAATTTTTTAAAAAATAATAGGTATACAAAAATTATAATCTTTTTCTTTTTTTTTAATACATTAAACTAAATTTAATTAATTTTTTAAAATAATAGGATGCACTTTACCCATATGAAAACTTAATGCATCCGTCACTGTCCATAATACTTGTGTACGTACAACTCTGTACATGAGATTACAGACATGAATAGTATAAAATATGGAATATTAATATTTATATATCTTCATCTGATTAATTTTAAATTTAAGTGCCTTGAAATTTTAAGTATAAAAAGTTTCAATTATTAAATGGTACGTCAAATTATAATACTTTTTTTTATTTGGCTTTACATGCGCCGCCAGCAACTCTGGGAAGAAGCATGAGATATACGCCAACAAATCGCAAGAGTATGGGTTCATAACAAATGCAGAAGAAGGCCGAAGATTAAGTCAGTTTTCTTAGAAGGGCTCTATCATTTTAATTAGAATTATAAATTTATTTGTGAATTTTTCTATACTCAAACCTAAGAAAAACATGGGATCACCTAAAACAAATATAATTATAAATTTATAATTAAATATATATTTTTTGGTAAAGCGATATGATTAAAGGAAAATCATACACATAAAGGATTTTAGATGCCTCGATCATTAAAAACATTTCTACACCTGATTAGAGGAAAAGATACATCCAAATCCTTACGAAAAACAAAAGAAATACTATTCACTACAATTAGACGATTGAACGTCATCAAAGCGCAACAATGACAAGATGTCATGTGGAGGCCTTTCCATGTATTGTACCCTAAAGTGATCAGCATTCGCTAAGCTAGCTAAGTAGTCGGCTACACCATTACCACGACGGGAAAGATGTCGGAAACGAACACACCACTTTCGTTGAACAAGGAGATGAATGTGTGTTAAAATTGGCACAAGGCCTTATCCAATTCGATCCAGCTGAAGTAAACGGACAACCTGAAGGCTATCGACTTCCACCTCGACTCTGCGAAAACCTCGTTCCCAAGCAATTTTCAAGCCGATAAATACCCCCACCCGCCCATAATTCTGTTTCAGCTACCGTGCAAACGCCGATAAATTTATGAAAGCCCTTCAACCAAACACCATTATCACCCCCGAAGAACTCCTCCGCATTTTGCAGTCCCGTCACTTGAATTTCGGCTCCCATCAGAATTTAACTCATACTCTTGCGATCCAACCATATGTGCCAAAGAAGTGCACCAAATAGTAAATCCCACTCTCGTTCCTAAGCGATGAACCTCGACGCATCCGAAAGATTAAAGGTAAAGCACGATTTCCATTCCAAAGATAATAACTCATCCAGCCGATCAGCTTGTACAAAAGCATCCCAAATCACCTTTGTTCGCAGGCATTCCCGGAACACATGCGAAGCACCCTCCAGTCCGACATTACAAATTGGGCAGCTTCCATCCTCTGTAAAATGACTATGAACCCGTTGAGCATTGGTCATGAGTTTGTTGGAGTAAGCAAGCCATAATTTTTTTTTGCACTCTCCGATAACCATGAATCAACTTCTAGAATCGTGAGTTCGAAGGAACAGAAGGGCCAGTTCTAAGCGGGTATGCTTTTCTGATGGAGAATTACAGGTCGGGGCTGACCTTCCAGCCAACTACATCATCCTGTGCCATCGTTAAATGGCTCCGCCTAGCTGTAATACTGTAACACCCTCAATTTTATTGTTTTAATTAATTTCGGGGTCCAAATCATAAAACTTTAAACCTTGGGGTCAGTTTTTAAAGCTTCTGGAAGTTCAGTGACCTAGTTCCAGATTTAACCTTCTTTGTCTGCAAAGAAAATAATACTAATACTAATAATACTAATAATAATAATAATAAGAATAATAAAATGTGTATGTGGTTGCGATTGAACTTTTAGCGTGCTAAACCATCACCCTAATCCTAAACCGTGTAACCTAAACCACTGTAGCTAATAGGTTTAGGTAAAAATATCTTTTACTTCTCTTGTTTGGGATTTTAAATCCCTAAAATTTGAAACCAAATCCCCAAATCGTGAAAATCCTCAAGCTCTCACCAACTCTAATCGTCGTCTCTTTGTTCACTGATCCCTGACCGACGATGGTGTGCACCGCCACCACCTTGTTCCCCGTCGTCCCATAGTCAAAAGTCCTCTGTCAATTTTTCAATAACCCCGGTCAATTGTCGTGAAAGACTATGGGAAAGTTTCGTTGAAACCTAAGAACCCTCGTTTCTGTTTCTGCTCGATTCCAACCACCATAGGCGATTGTAAGTTGTGTCTTCGCCATCAATTGACTCACCATCCCACGTCGAGTAAAACCTGATCGACCTCTTTCCGTCTAAGCTCGTCGTTCGTCACAAATCTGCTGACAAAGCCTCGACGGATAATTAAATCCACCATCATTGTTTTTTGCGTTTCATGTCGATCTTGTCATCGGTTTGCCTCACCGCCATCATCATCAGGTTCCCCACTCTGTTCCGACCATAACCCGATCGGTATCGTCCCCTTCCGTCGCGTCCTCTATTGTTCGTCGTTTAGGGTAGGAGTTTATTCTTTATTCGTTAATTTCCTTCGATTTTGGTTGATTTATGGATTGATTCAAGTTGTTTTTGGTGAATGGTGTCATTGGGAGGAATAGACCGCCCCTCCCTGTCCCTGTCGCCGCCGTACGTGCTACCACGCGCCATCGTCGAACGTGGTCGTTGTTTCTGTCAAGTTTTCTAGATGACTTAGCCAACTCGCCTGAGTCACCGAGTCAACTCGCTGAGTTGAACAACCCAAAACAGTCTATTTTTTTAGCCAAGTTGAGCCATTAATGCCTTTGAGCCGAACTATTTAAGCTTCTAAGTTGAGTCGTTGATGGAGCCGTTGACCAATTGACTTTGATTTTGACCCGTTGACTGTTGACTTTTACCAAAAAGTCAACTTTTTCGAAAATATTTTATGTTTTCGACGTCCTGAGTCGGAATTCGAAGTCTGTTTCATCAAATTCGAACCTGGTAAGTTTTTTTTCCAGTGTTTTATCTCTCGATTCGAATCGTGTTCCTGATTAAGTTCTATTTTTAACGTAAATTCTTTTGCTATGTCACTGAGATATTATGGGATGTCGAAATCAAGTGTGAGAGCATTCGAATGGAGTTCAAATGACTGACCATTGTTGCTCAAAAATCAAGGTAATACTTTAGTACCCTATGCACACTTTACGTTACATGTTGGTAATTACTGATGCATGATTTATAATGTTTAGTCAAGTAAATCCCAATGAATATTCTTAAATTCGTACTGAATATGGTAAAAGGATATTAAATTGGTTAAGACTCGAACTGAGTACGGTATAAAGCTGGTATACTGAATAAGACTCGGATAACTTGCTTAAGAAATTAAAAGACCAATAATAAAGAAATTTAGGATCAACAATCAACCTCAAGATCTATAAATTTCGATTATTTTCTTTTTAAGGTTGAGTGCCAAGAATACTTGGATAAGAAATTACAAAAACAACCCTATGGAGTAAAATTACGAAAACACCCTCGTGCTGCAAAAAGACCAAGATTGCCCCTGATAATGAAAAGACATAATTGACCAAATTATTAAAATAAGTTCATATGTTTGGATTGAACAAAATTACCAAAATGTTCTCGAGCTGTGAAATACCTTGAACTCTAAAGGACCAAAGTAATCTAGAGTACGGAAATGAACCAAATATCCTCATGACCTAGAAATAAGTGAATGTTATTGGATAATTCTAGAAATATCGAGAAATCTAATTATTGTACCGCCACTCAAGCTTATGGAGCCAACCCAAGTATGTCTGTCATCTTGGAGATTGTTCCAATACATAAATAACTCAAAAACCATCAGAATACGTACAGTTCCTCAAGATCCGTTCAACGATGGTTCTGAAGATGACCAATTCGATTAGTGATGTCAGTATTAAAGTGTGAATATGCTTGAAGTGTATCGATTCAAGTGATTGACAAGTATCACAGTGCTAGGATTTGTTCAGCTCGAGTTGACCCGATTTTCTGACAAATCAACATGAAACTTGAATACTATAAATCATCGTTTCACCCTTATTGGATTAAGTTGCTACGAATCCACTACAAATAAAAAAGTGTCTGAAATACCCCTGATTGCCTAAATATTGAAAATGCTCTGGTTATATCTGAAATCTTAATTTATTCTGATGTAAAGGTTCTTAAATACCTTTCTGATACACCTGAAATCCTAAATGGTCTTGTATAATTAGGGGGCATGTAGGTGACATTTGATTTTTTATAATGAGTCTATAACTTGTATGATTTTAATTCTGTTTGTAATATATGAATGATTTTCTGAACTTGTATTTTAAGTATAAATTATTTTATGATTTTACATGTTTTAACAAAAAAATAATTTCTCCTGAATTTTTATCGTATGTCGTTCTGGTGACCCTAATGTAACACCTAGGATCAGATTGAGTCACCCGTATCTATATGAGAGTATTACAAATACATAGCAGAATGGGCATCGAGAGAAGATGTTGAAAACGATCCCATCTCCAAAGTCCATTGTCGTCATCTATATCTGTCACCTTTTCGTTCCCAACCAAATGCAATAAGTTAGGCTCGACAAAGCTAAGCAAAGAAACCACCCCTAATAACCATCAATTTTGCCAGAAACTTGTAGGATAGCCATTCCTAACACAATGCGTGATATTTTCAAACACCTCTCCATACCAAACAGATTACTTTCCAAATTCCAGAACAATTTTGGCGTTGTTCAGGAATTGTGTCAGAGTATTTATATTTGGCACGTAATAACTTTGCCCACAAGGCATCCTTATTGGCAATTAGATTGAAAGCAAGCTTTATAATGAAAGATTCATTTTGAATATGAACACTCCTAAAGCCAAGACTACCTTGGAGGGATGGTCGACACAAATCTTCCCATCGTACCAATGCCACACCCTTACCATCCGAAGAAACACCCCAAACAAACCATTTGATCAAAAGCTCCAACTCGTTGTAGGTCTTTTATGTAACACAGTCGTTTGCATTGTGTAAATTGGAATAGCAGCTAAAACTGATTTCGCTAAGGTTATATGACCCGCCAAGGTAAGATTCTTCGCTGCCCAACCCGCCAACTTGTTCTGCATCATCCGAATCAAGTAAGCATGTGATTCTGATGTGAACCGTTGATGCAACAATCAACACCCAAATATCTCCCTTAATCCGTAACCAATTCGAAACCAAATTTCACACTAATCTGTTGTCTTAAGGTAAGAAGGAAATTTTTTGAGAAATAAATATTTATTTGGAAATGCTAACCTTATGGCCAGAGATCTCACAAAAATGATCCAGGATCCATCGAATAACTTCACATTGGTCTTCCGACGCTTCCACAAAAAACAAAATGTCATTGACAAAGAAAAGATAAAAATTTCTCGACCCAGATTTAGAAGTACGAAAAGGTTTCCATCGTCCATTACTAGTGGCAGCCATGATAACTTGAGCAAGTCTTTTCATTCAATGATTAAATAAATAAGGTGATAATGGATCACCTAGTCGAATCCCTCTTGAAGGAGTAAACGAATATGTTTGTTCCCTATTTCACAATATCTAAGTTAAAATAGACGCGACACAATGCATAATTAACTTTTGTAAGTGCTCCAAAATACCAATATCCATTATTGTATCCACATAAAATTTTATTCAAGACTATTATATGCCTTCTCCAGATCAATTTTAATGACCATCCAACCCTTTTGACCAGTCTTCTTTCTCATGGAATGAATAACTTCCCGAGTGATGATGATGTTATCAGTGATTGCTCTGCTTGGAACAAAACACGTTCGGTTAGTCGACACCCATTCTGGCAAAACCGGTTTAAGTTTGTTGACAATGATTTTGGTGATTATCTTATATGATGTTATCGGTGATTGCTCTGCTTGGAACAAAACAAGTTCGGTATGTCACACCCATTCTGGCAAAACCGGTTTAAGTCTGTTGACAATGATTTTGGTGATTATCTTATAACACATTACAAAGGTTAATAGGACGAAACTGACCAACCCATTTAGAAAAATTCATCTTCGGTAACAACACGAGAAGCGTTCGATTAATGCTTGGGTTACTATGGCCTTCTTGAAATACTCGAGACACAAAATTAACTACAGATGGACTATGCCAATTTTTTTTATAAAAGACAACTTGAAGCCCATACATCTCGGGTGCTTTTAAGCGACCCATATCAAAAACAACCTTTTTAACTTCCTCCCCTGTGATTGAAACAACCATGGAATCGTAGCTAGCATGCGATAGAACTTTGAATCGTCCCCGAACAATATAATCAGTCCCCAGAAAGCCTGAAGTAGTAAACAAATTACAAAAATACTCCCGAGCCAGAGCTATCAAATAATTCGGATCAGTACACCGATTCCCATTGGCACATTTCAGGGCAGTGATTCTATTGTTTCGTTGACGAGCCATTGTAGTCGCATGGAAATATTTAGTATTCCTATCTCCATGCAGGATCCATTGAGAGCAGGCCTTATGCCGCAAGAGGCTCTCATGTTCGAGAACACTCAGGTATTCACTCTGCAAATCAGATCTTAAATTAACCAGGTAGACATTATGCTTTCTTTGAAGAGCCTTATCAATACCTCGGAGATGCACGAGAATCTGTTTTTTCTTTTTGCCAATATGCCCAAAGACTTCTACATTCCAAGTTTGTGCCGCTGTTTGAAAAGCTAAAATATTAGCTTCAACAGTACCCTCAAGAGACCAAGATTATTTTAAAAGTTCTTGAAAATTCGGATGTTCCTGCCATGCTGTAATAAAACAAAAGGGTTTAGACCCATTACTCTGATATCAAACCACCATCCTAACTAACAGAGGTCTATGGTCCCAACCCAACTGTTCCAAATGGATAACACGAGACGCAGAGAATTTGTAAATCCAAGTCGGGTTAACCAAACACGGAGCCAGTCTTTGATATAAACGTCCCCTAGACCATGTGAACTCATGTCTATCAGTCCAGCATTTTGAATAAAATCTGTGAATCCACGACTACCATCTTAACGATTTATTCGGCCATCCGATCTTTCATACACTTTCAATATAACATTAAAATCCCCACCTAACAACCACGACACATCTCCACCCGTATCTAAATTCATAGGTTGATCCCAAAGAAGATTTCTCGTGGATAATTGAGGACTAGCGTAAATGGTCGTAAAATACCTCCAATCAAAATTCCCAATATGGAACAGTCTACCATGAATAAACTGATTCGATATGTGAGAAATCTCTAGTCAAATCGAGTTCTTCCATAACAGCCAAATTCCCCCACTGAACCCATGAGCTTCAACCCGAAACAAGTTATCAAAACCAAACTTAGAGATGATTGTATCCGTATTTGTACCTGACACTCGCGATTCAGAAAGAGCTACTACCTCAATATGATTATCACAGACTATTTCTTTCAAGATTCTCTGAAAATTAGGACTTGATGTGCTCTAACAATTTTAGAAAATAAATGTCATTATAAAAAAAAAACTAGTAAAAAGAAAAAACTGAACCCAAGCCTTACTGCCCTCCATTCTACCCGGGTAGGCCCCGATTCACATCATCCTCAACTATACATTGATCTATGAAGTTACTAGAACTTCCTTCCTCCGCAAGTAGTCCCACGTTTGCCAATCTCTACGCATGCTACTGTTGTTGGGAAATAAACCGAGTAACGAGTAATTTTCCTATAATCAGATTAGTGAGAATGCGAAATAAAAGCGAAAAAATAATACCCGAAAAATTGATAACGGCAGCCAATTGTGCCTACGTCTCCGGACTGCTGCAGATCTTTTACTAAGAGAGAAAAATTACATGTGTTTACAAAACACTCACTACTCACAAGAAAGCTCTATAGTATTGGGAGAAAGAAATGATTTTGGGATTTTGGGATGATTTTGAAGCTAAATGAGCTAAGGTATTTATAGTTGAAGCTTGAGGACTAATCTTGTAAATACCCTAAAGTACAATGACTAAAATGCACTTATGCCATTTACTATTTTTTTCAACAAAAATAAATGCCACTTTCGGTGGCCTCCCTTGCCACTTTCGGTGGCCTCATTTTATGACATTTCCAACAATCTCCCACTTGAAGACTGATTTTAATCTGTCTTCACACCTCGATCAATGCAGCAGCATTTATAGTCTTGTTATTCTAGCATGCCAATTGAAGCTGAACACAACTTCAGTTTGTCTGTGGTCAACGTCTTTATCAACATGTCTTCCGGATTTTAAGCTCCACTAATTTTTTCCAGTTTCAAAATCCCATTTTCCAAAAGAGACCGGATAAAATGATATCGCAATTGTATGTGCTTCGTCCTGGAATGAAAAGACGAATTTTTTGCTAGATGGATAACATTTTGACTGTCGCAATCAAGACATTGCTTTCTTGTTTCTTGCCTAACTCTTCCAAGAAACTTTGGAGCCAGATTATCTCTTGCTGGCTTCCGTAACAGCGACATATTCTGCTTCAGTTGTGGAGAGAGCAACTATCTTCTGTAGTTGAGAAACCCAACTCACTGCATTTCCTCCTAGAGTATAGACATACCCTGTAGTGCTTCTTCTGATGTCAACATTTCCAGCTAAGTCAGCATCTACATAGCCTGTCAGTATCGTATCTCCATCTTTGAAACAAAGTGCTTTGTTTGTAGTACCCTGCAGATATCTGAGGATCTATTTGACTGCTTCCCAGTGTACTTTGCCCGGATTATTCATGTACCTCGTAACAGCTCCCACTACATGAGCAATATCTGGTCTGGTACAAACAATGGCATACATCAGACTTCCAATTGCTGAGGCGTACTACACCTTCACCATGTGTGCACGTTCTTCATCCGTCTTTGGTGACTGTTCTTTGGAGAGTCTGAAATGAACACCTAAAGGTATACTTACTGGTTTAGCATCTTGCATGTTGAACCTGGAGAGTACTTTGTTGATGTACTCAGCCTGTGATAACATCAAAGTCTCCGACTTTGTGTCTCTCTTGATCCTCATCCCAAGAATCTGCTTTGCAGCGCCCAGATCCTTTATAGCAAACTGCTTCGACAAATTTTGCTTCAAGTTTATAATCTCTTGCATGTCTGAGCCTATAACGAGCATGTCATCAACGTTCAATTATAAAATAATGAAGCTGTTGTCGAACCTCTTGATGTAGCAACAATGATATGGTTGGCATATGGTAAAACCACTACTACTCATGAAGCTATCGAACTTCTTGTAACACTGTCTAG